TCATGTATGGCTGATGATACTTTACAAAGAGAAACCATGTATGACTGTTGATACTTTGTAAAGTATCATCAGTCATACATGGGATCTTTGTAAAGCATCAACAGTCATACATGGGATCTTTGTAAAGAGATCATGTATGGCTGATGATACTTTACAAAGAGATCATGTACCTGATGATACTTTACAAAGTATCATCAGCCATACATGATCTCTTTGTAAAGTATCATCAGTCATACATGGGATCTTTGTAAAGTATCAACAGTCATACATGGTTTCTCCTTGTAAAGTATCATCTGTCATACATGGTCTCTTTGTAAAGTATCATCAGCCAATTTTCATTGTAAGAACATTCTTTTGATTTTCTAATCATTAATGGGGTTAAATTGATGTTCATTTTCCACCGCAGTGATGGGAAAATTCAAAGGGGCAGGAAGGAAAATGTTTCTCCATCGAAGTGTATGTGGTTATCGTTCAGAAATTACATTCATTTTAATATTGATTAAAATGAATCAATTGTTTAACGACATTCATCCATTCATCTAATGTGCAAAGAATCTTTGTATGAATATTCTTGTTAAAAAATCTATACGTGTATGGCCAGCAAAAGGGTGGTGTAGATTTGCTTGGGAAATTTCTGCAGGCACTGCCTCTGATATGCACTATCATTTCCTCCAAATATGAGAGTTGATTTGTTTAGTATAGTCTCATGTGACCATAAATGGTTGTACTTTGATTAGATGAGATTTTTGGAGCATGTAAACCTGCATGCTTCACGATGTTCCCTCTAAAGATTGTTCAGTATTTAATTTACAAAACTAAACATGCATGTGCACAAATTATTAGATCTCTGATTGCAAATGATGGTAAAATAACACGCAATGTAAGCTGATCGTGCTAATGAAAATAGTTTGTATCACTTCAGTTCCTCTCCTGGAACAATCACAGCAATCGCGTTGATTATACTACCCACATGTGGAACGGTAAGGGTGATGGTAACATATATGGCTGATCTTAGACCGCAAATTAGAAGTATGTTGCAGTCTGAGAGTGAATGGAGGGGATCCTCTCATCTCAGAGATAAACTTCTTCTAGGGAGATGAAGAATTGACTGCCAAATTTAAACAGAATAAAATATTAACGTTACCTATACGTCTGAAAAAAAAGGATAACTGGGAGAAAAACACGAATGTGTACATTACCCTATAGTCGGTTATGCTGTGTGTCTTGTAGGATATTTAATGTATATTAACAATCCAATAAGACATGCAGAGCCAGGTACCGAAATGTAATGTACAGGGAAACCATGTCTTACCTTGCCCATGTCACTGCTTCTGTCTAAGATCCAGACTTTGCCCATCATGGTGGGCATACACATGAACACAGGATTCAGTGTCCAAAGCAGACATTTACAGGTTGGCCCAATTGATGCAGGATCTGGGTGCAATTCCCAAGATGTACATCGAGGGTAACCAATCTGGAAAATGCTAATGAGCAATGAAGCAGTCAGTCAGATTTTGATAGAATTGTCATTCAAAGATTAAGAATAAAAATTGTGACAAAATTAAAAAAAAAAAAATTGCTTGACAAAGAGGCAGGAATGCATTTAAACATGTAGCCACGCTTCCAGGACGTCCCTTAGTAACTGACATTATTCATTGGGTTCCTCTGCAGTGTCGCACAATCCCTGGACTGGGTGCCTCTGCTACAGATTTCCTTGGATTTCCAGATTTCTTAGGCTCTACATGCCTCCATAACCTTACTTCATGTGAGTTGCCAATTTGTTTTTATCATATAATAAATAATGTTTTAATGCTGCACTTAGATGGCGCCTTCCACTGTATGTGTTTTAGTGTTTTATGTTTTGATTCAGAGATTCCTTCAGTCTCTCTGAAGGAGCTGCATCTTGTGAAAAGGAAGCTTACTGGAGTCTGCCCCAGACATACCTGATAAAGACTGGTTTATTGAAATTATGGTTATGTTTTCTCTGCTATGAGGTGGTTACCCATACACTACTTGTGCCATAAAGACATTTCTTCCCATGTCTAAAATGAACTCTAAGAAACAGATTTGAAGGTAAATCCAAAAATTCATTTTGTTTTCTCTATTCTGAAACAACTGGGTCATCCAACAGCAGTCCAACTGAGGGTTGTGCAACTGTAAGGAAATGCTAACAGACCTACTCAACAAAACAAGAGAACTGGGGGCAGCCTGAAGCTCAAAGAGCTGCCTGAAGGACCTTATGCTCGAGGCTGACATTTTAATATTGAACATCGACTGGTAAGAGAACACATGAACAGAATACCACGTAGTGCTTTGAAAATCTGAGAAACAGTTGCCTGAAAACAAAAATCCTCAAAAAATACAGAGTTCCCCTTGACAGCAAAGGGTGGAACCTTGTTCTTAAGACCATAAATTGTACAAAGATGTACAAACCCACACAGTAAAAATACTGAAAGGAAATTTCCTTTTGATGTATTAGAGCCAGACAGAGGGATGGAAGAACAATGTCCTGGGTTGAGGTGAAAGGCCAAACCCACGTATGGATCAAACTGTATCCCTATCGACTGACCCTCCAGTCAGGATGTCCAGCATTCAAGGACAACCAAATTGCTAGGAGCTTGCAGAAATCTTGATCAAGAGAAGATATTCTTCTGTCAAACAAGTTCCCTACACAGACAAAGTATCTAGGACTCCTCCCCAACCGTTTAGGCTGGCAACTGTGGTTACAAATTTCCAAAACAGTCGGAAGGAGAATTTTCCCAATTGCAGAAATAGACTTCCAAACAACCAGGCCAAAGATGACCGTGCCTCAGTGTCAGGCAAGTCAGTTTGTCTACAGACTGAACCGATTTGTCCCACAATGTTTGACTGTTGTGTTGTAGGGATCTGGAGAGGAACAAGGCAAATAAAGCTGCCTTAAAGTAGACTACCATCAAGTCCATAATCTCCACACAGAATTGCAGTGTTGGACAGCTCCTTGACTGTGGAACCTGCGAGCAAAGAGTTTTTCTTGGGGAAAACTCGGGTGGTGTCTAGGATTAGCCCAAGTATTCACAAGTAATATGTCAATTCCAGTACTGACTTCTGAAGATTCAGAATCCAATCAAATATTTGTCATGTCTGGACTGCCCACATCACATTAGCAGTCAGTATGTGCACCGACTGTTCCCTCAGTAGAAGATCGCCCAGGTATACCCTGGGAGCATAGCAAGACTAGCAGAGGTAACAATATCTTGGTGAACACTCAGGTGTAGAATACAGACCAAATAGCAGAGCTACAAACTGGTAGTGTTGTGCTCCCACAGAAAAAGGTAGCCTGTTGATTTAGATGTGTTGGAAAGATAGGGATGGCTAGAAACTCTCTCTGATGAATAGGAGGTTATGACAGACCTGGCGGATTCCATGTGTAATTTTGTTGGAATTTAATAGAAAACACACTTCATTGGACAAAGCAGATAACAGAAAAGGTACACCCGCCAAAGAAAGTGGCTCTTTAGTACGGAATTGCTGTGACCACGAGTGTAAACACTGGCTGCCCCTACCTGGTTACAGTCAGTGTTTCCAGGTTGTGATCACAACCAGCACCAGGGATTGCAGTATGCTTATCACAGTCATTGTCAGTGTTTTCAGTGTGGCTGATTGCAGCCACCTTCATTTTCACCTTGGGGTGTCTGCTTTTCAAAATGTGTTCATTATATGAGTGTTTCTACTGTCCTAGCACTTCAGTATCCCTGAAAATGTCTTCGGTAGTCAGGAAATCACATGCATTATTTATGTCCCTTGAAATCCTGGAGGTGCTCCCTGGGGATCTGGAATCCCCTATATGGCTAGAAAAGAAAAACGTCTCCCATACTCAGGAGGAGTAGCAGACTATGTTTGGGGGTGTAATTGTAAGTATGCATATGAGGAGTGTGAGAAATATTTACAGAAAATGACAATGACATTTTCATTTCTTCTGTTCATTCTTCAAAAACATGTGGAAAATGATTCCATTTTCACAAAGACTTCTGCCTCTTAGCAAACATATTAGCGTGTTTGCTTTCCAAAATGGGGTCATGCTGGTATTTCTACTGTCCTGGCACTTTACGGCCTACAAAAGTATAATAGGCAGTCAGGAAATCATATGCTAAATGTATGCCACTTGAAAGTGCTTTAGCCACTTTGCTGCAGCTAGGCAGCAAACATTTCTCACACTTGTGGTATCTGCATACTCAGCTAAAGTAGCAAAATGTGTTGTGGGGTGTAAGTTACTCAAGTGGTGTGTGTGAAATATCTTAATAGAATAACTTTTTTTTTAGGATCCCAGACTTGTAACAGCACTTGCAGAAACTACAGAATGTTCTATTTTTTAGGTAGCATGCACCAAATTACCCACTTGCCCTCCAGAAGATTTACCACCCTTCATGACCAGGCCATTTGTTGCTATACAGCACTGCTCTACTTTAACTGACAATCGCGCTGTCATGCAACACAAAATGAAATTTATATAATTTATTTCACACAAACAGAGCTTTCTTTTGGGGGTATTTGAGCATCACTGGGGTTTTGTTTTTATTTTTTGCGCTATAAATGAAGAAAAAATAAAATAAAACATACCCCATAAAAATAATTTAGGCCAAATTGTATTCTGCTACATTAGTGTATATTAACTAGCTGCCGACCGCAGATAGCCGAATGACGGCTGCACTGAGGCCGGCCAGTTCTGAGTGGACGTCATATGACGTCCTCCCAGAACGCGCTCTCCTGCGCGCCCCAGGGGGCGCGCACCCGACGATCTCCGTGATCGCTGTGTCCTACGGACACAGCTGATCACGTGATGTGGTAAAAGGCCAATCACAGCGGCCTTTTACCACGTGATCAGCGGTGTCCAATGACACGCTGATCAGAGGGAAATGCTGTCCGATCGTGAGGAAAGTACTGCCGAGAACCGGCAGTTGTCAGAGCGGGGATCGGCACCGATCATCAGGGCACTGATGATCAGTGCCCTGATGATCGGTGCC